AAAAAGAGCTACTGAAACCTTGGTGTTCCTGAAGAAATCCAATCCTTTAACACAAGCAAAAAAAAAAAAAAAAAAAAAAAAAAAAAAAAAAAAGAAAAAGAGCCAGAAGCAAAAATAAAACTTCCATATTCAGCATTTACATTGGCTCAAAAGTTGAAAAGGAAACACCAAATTGTATCCATTGTCAGAGTAACTGCAGACATCCACAGGATAATGACTTATCCCAATAATTATCTACATGACAATACCTGAAATGAGGAACATTAATAAGTTCCTCATTATTGCATGTTAACAGGTATCACATTGATATATATGTGCTTGTATCCCCTATAAAGGCAAGCTAGTTTTCTGGAGTTGCCTGCATAAATTTAGGTCTAAATTTGAAAGTTTTACATGCAAAATTATTTGGAAAACTTCAGAAATGTCCATTTAAAATATTTAACAATAAGTAAATAAAATATACTGCAAATTGCCTAAGTGGAATTCAGTAAGCGTCTGATAAAAGTCACCTCCAGATTTCTAATTTTACCCTAAAAACTTCAGTGCATAGCCCAAAAAAATGCACAGACACTGAATTCTTACTTGAATGTAGCTGGCCATTAGCAGTACAGCTGCCAATTTGACTTTGTCCCTCAACTTAAAATTATCTGTAATTCTTCTAGAGCAGGCAGGTAGGGCATCTCAAACCATAAAGGGGAGCAAAAAGCCATGTGCCACCTTCCCTGCCAGGGACAGAGAGCTGCTAGTAGCCAGGAGACAAGGTTAAAACAGGAAATTCAAGAAAGCACCTACTCTCCAACCCCTTAATGCAAATCTGTTACTGGTAGGAAAGTGATACAGCTTGATGGTTTACAAATATGTGGGATGATAATCTACTTGATTTCCCATTGCATTCACTTCAAAGATGGCAGCAGCTGCCTTTGTCACCAGTGACAATCCACGTAAAACAGCAAGACAGACAGCTTGGTTCGCTCCCATGACTAGCTCAGCCACAAGGTAAGCAAAGCAGTAATTATATCAACTGAAAGAGTAATTACATCGACTGAGAGGGCAGAACAGAAGTGTAAGAGCTGCACAAATCAAGCAGCAAACTGAACACTGAAATGTCATACTCTGCCCTGCCAAGTCAGAGACAAGTTTGATCCTGCCTTGCAGATAACGACAAAACCAGCAAGATTACCAACATTAAAACAAAAACAAGCCAGCAATTAAAAAGCCTGGTAAACTTCCTATTACACCTATGCAAATAGCCACAGACTATAAAAACAAGGATTCCAGGAGACCTAGAAAAATAACACTTTTATTACACAGTGCCACAACAACAGTGGCGCAGTAGTGCACTCAGGGAGGAAAGAACTATCAAAATAAAACCTCTTGGATCAAATTTTATCAGCTATAACGCTATCCAAAATCACGTGACCAGAAACTTTCCCTCAGCAATTCAGTTTGGCTGTCCATTCAAAGTGTGACTGTGGCCCTACTCTAGTTTCCAGAGATCATTAAAAAAAAAAAAAAAAAAAGAAAGAAAGAAGAAACCAGAAAAACAAACCCTGTCCAAGCCCTGCAATTAAGTATTAACTGGCGTCACTGAAAGCATCAGTCACTCTCACAGACACTCTTGAGGAAACACAGAACAGAGGACGAGGTGTTCCCTCCCTCCTCTTTCAGATTAGGGCTAAGAAAACACCTGAACAGACTTCTCACTCCCTAAAGTGTTTTTCCTCCAGTGACCATACATGGCAGGAAATCCACAGGTACGGATTTCCTTCCTGTCATTATAAACTTCTCTCTCTTTTTCCTTCTGTTTTCCTGTGCTGGCCAAGCCTGCTCTTTAACTGGGACATCTGACATTCTCAAGCACAGCCTCCCTACCCATCACACTGAGGCACACACAAGTAGCTCCAGCCTAGACAGAGGCTCACACAAAACCTCTGGAAAATGAATAAAACGTGATTTTGGTTCTCCAGGAGCTCCTACCCAGAGCTGTATCTTTGGGAACATCCCATGGCAGTTTGCTCTAGAGATGCTGACACTTAAATCCTGGGCTCCCCAAACCTGAATGTTCTCTCCAAAACTGCAGAGAACTTGAGCTGTTACACCAACAGGAGATGGAAGAGTTTTGGTGCCATACTGACCTGGTTTCTATAGCAATCTCTAATCAAACCACTGCCAGAAATTTTGTTTTAGTTAATTGCTTGCATTGTTCTAGCTAGCACTAGTACCAAAATTATATTATTTATACAAAAGAGATGTTGAAATAAGAAACACACTAGCTTACTTTATTTCTAGATACACTTTCTAGGTTGGATGCATTAGTTTCCTTCTAAACAGTCAAGAATTTTACTTTGCTCAGGATCACACAATGGGAGCCAAAAGTCTTTCCCGAGGCACACCTAAATGGTGCCGTGGACTTACCCACAATCAATTCCTCTGAAGAGCCCATGGCTCAACAGAGATTTGCACATCAAAGAGAAACAAGTATGTACATTTCCACAAATCAATGGGGGGTTTTACCCCCTTGGCAGAACAAACATCACAAATTGCAGTTTGTCTCACAGCATCTCCTCATTAAAGTTCCTGAGCAGCTAAAAAAAAAACAACAGCTTGAAGATTGCAAGGTCTCTGTGGAAGTGCAACAATCTCCCTAGACATGCCTGAACCCTGCTTTTAGCAGTGGCCTACTGCTGCCAGAGCAGTCAACCCTAGAATTAGCTGCAAGCTCTAAGGACGGGATGATGCCAGCTCTACCCCAAAGTCTGTCAGTCCTCAGTCTGTCCTGACCAGCAGGGTAGGCAATCACAGCACTGGTGAAGAGCCCAGGCCTGGCCCCAAGCTCCCCTGCAAGCTCAACTCATGATCTATTAACCAGCATCCAAGGACCAGCTCCACATTTGCAGAGTGGACAACTGGACTGGCACAAATCCTTAGATACAGTATGAGGCATGCCACATTAGAGGGGCTGAAAAGTGTTTTAAGCTTGCCAGAGATGCCATAAGGCCTCCTACATAGCTCTTATTTTATACACCTACAGTACCATCCAAATATCTCTAAAAGATGGTGAGAAGTTTACCAATTTTAGCAGAGCCAAAAGTGACTCTCTTGATTCTGCAATTCTCATAAGCATCTAGAGACAGGTGGTAAGGGAAGCAAGGTCACCATAAATTTCCATTTTTTAATCACCATTTTATATTTCTACAGTTTGGAAATTATGTGTCTGTAATAGAAACCATGACAAAGATGATTTCCTAATCCTTTATTATTGAAGATAGTTTGTCCACTTAGCACGTGTCAAAAGACAAAACTTTCACACAGAAGCAACACAAAATAAAGAAAATTTGTAAAGAGATTTTATCTGTCCAAAACAAATTAGGCTTACACTTTTCTTGACTTGGGACTCTATCCAAAATTGCAAGGAAAATCCATTATTATCAAGCAATTGAGATATCCTGACAAGAATTAAGTCAATATTTTCTCACTTCAGTCACCTGCTCTAAAAGTAGATTTCTAGTGTTTGGGCTCCAGAAGTCCTTGCTGTGAAGTAGGAACTTGACCATACCATTATTGTAATTAGTGATGAATGATGTTTATGAAATACTTTTCTACCAAGTTCAGACTCTCATAATACACACAAGAATGACTCTTGACCATTTCTATTCCAGAAAACCGTCTTCCAAGAAAGACAGAAAAATGCGGAGATCAATATATTACTACGAACTTGATTCAAGGTGGAAGCAAGTACACATACTGACTTCCAGAATGTCAGACAAACTTTAACTTACAAGTTTAATTTTTAAAATACTCCATCATTTGACAGCAAATTTTATGCAGCTGAACAAAATTAGCAGAGCAGAAAGTTCTTCAGCAAGGAACTGTGTCAATTTAGCAAGCTATTGGGCTTGCTAAACAAAACTGTCAAGAAAGAAAACCTGAATTTAGCCAGAGTTCAAAACCAAGAGGTCCAAGAATTACCAGAAGCTTATTTGATCTGATTATTGGTCTGATTGCATTTCAGACGATGCATCTGGGAGGATGACAGGTAAGTGTTAAGGCAAAAAATTAATCAGAACCAAATAACTTCCAGAACACTTTCTACACAATTTCCATTTAACCTAAAAGTTAACACTGAAGGACGATGCATAAATGTATGGCCCTGTTTAGACACTTATCCAGCCACTGATTGCTCAAGTCAGCCTCCTGAATTTGTGGCTGAAGAGTCAGGTGCAACCTCACAACCAGCTGGAAACACTTCTCCTTCCCAGTGTCACACTGAGGGGAGGAACAGCTGGCTTCAGCCTGACCCCTACTAAAGATAAAATGATTACTGCAACATGCTGACCTTGAAGACCTCGTACCTTACTCTCAGCCACACTACCCACACCTGCAAACAGCACCTTGTCCTATTATTCATCCTATTTTAGTCCTAAAGTTTGCATTATGCATTTATGGTGCTCTGGCTTTTCTTTATGAATGGGTTTATTTCCACTCAGCACAGAGAAGACCAAGCTTTAATTTTCCTACAGTTACCATTCAGACATATCCAACATGTTCCTGCATTCATCATTGGAGGGGTTTTGGTTTTTTTTTCTGTGTTGCACAAAGATAAATAAAGAGTTTCAGATATCAAAAGTAACACTATATGATTCAAATATATTTAACACCTCGAGGCTTCCAGGAAGCAGTCTGGACTTTGAAAGAAACAGATTTCCTTGAAAACAGATTGCTTACTTTACAGCGCTGTAATGCTGGCTACTGCTAACAGTTAGAGGGGTGGGAAATGTTCTGAAATGCACATACCAGGGCCTAAGTGCATGAAAGAAAAAGAGTAACTCATTTTAACTTCACTTTAAAATACGGCTGAGCTAATAAAAATTCATTTTGGGGGAGTGGTGGTGTGATTTTCATTTTAGTTGCTTTAATCAACAGATCCTTTGAGGAGAGAGACAGCTGGTACCATCTGTTCCCGGACAGAATGAAAACTAAAATTTCTTTGCTGTACTTACATGTGAGGACTGAGTTCATAAAAGTTTCGGTTTCTGTATTCTTCCACTTTCTCTGGATTATAAATGGGTAGAGATCTGTAGGGGTTTATTGATATCACCACGCTGCCAATGTATGTCTGTTGAAGGAAAAGAGAAAATTATTGCAGGTTTTTCTTTTTAACATACTTTTGCTGCTTATATATTAGTTGCCTATTTAATACTTTCATGGAAACAAACAAACAACAACAACAAAAAGGGCCTAATTGTAGCAATGAATAAATATTATTTTAAATTGTGAAACACCTTTTAGATATTCTCTCTGTTGGGTACCAAGTAGCTGCTACTGCATAACTGAAGGCCTCTTATGAACATTTTCTAAAAGTACTATATTTCTGTGACTAATTCGTTTGGGGGAGGTAAAGGCAAAAGGACACAGATGTTCACGAAGAACTGACTCCATCTGCATGGCAAATGTCACAGGAGCTCTGCTGCAGCCCTTGGGCACTCACACCAAACCCCATAAGGCAAGGCTGGCATCAGACTGGGCCCTTCTTCCCAAGGAGGAACTTTATGTCACCTTGTCAAAGCCTCAGGCACAGAAGAAACCTGAAGGGGAACAGCCTCGGACAGGTTTCTGCCAAAGGAGAGATTTGCTGTCAGGGCTCAAACCAGACAAAGTCCTGCCACGGTTCCTCAGCAGACATAAAGTGCAATTTTTATTTCCAGTTTCTAAATGTACTCACCACCACCCTTGGAAAGCAAAGGGAAAAATGTGTTGTTTCACTCTGTTAGATCCCATGCACTGCTGGCCTGAAGGAAGACCAGAGTTCTGTACACCATGACTCCCATGTCTGCTCATGACACAATTAACTTGAATCCTTAAGCCTACTGTCAGATATCCCACAGCTTTCTGCGCCTCCCTCCAGCTCCAATCAAATACACTGAGTGGCAAAAAAATGCCAAAACTCCATTCCATCCTGCCTGCAGATACTGACCAAAGATTAATAAAACCCCAAGTGTTTGGTATCTCTTTCCACAACTGTGAAACAAATAAATAACACCTGATGAAACATGGTTTTCCAGTAACCAGTGCTCCCTGGGAGATGTATGTGCTCTACACAAAAGCCACAGGTTCCCACTGGATTATATTTGCAATAACTACAGAAGAAAGGAAAAACAAAACAATTGTTTTTCAAATGTGCTATGATTCTAAAGGGCTTTTGTGCAGTGGTATCTCAGCACCTGACAGTCACTATTTGGATTTTTCCCCATGCCATTTCTTAGAGAAAATACTGTATTCTGTACTTTTAAGTGGCAAGATCGGCATGAGGAGCCCAAGCTACTGATCAGCAGATTCAGTGGAGCCAAATTACAGACATGGCTGCAATGAAAAAATGAAAAATATTAATTGTTGGAACCCTTCCAGATCTAACTTCCATGCCTAAAGCAATTTCCTGCTAAATGCTACTAAATCTGGTCCTGAGCAGAAAGCAAGGAGAAGAATATTTCCTATTTTCCATTGCACACATATGCACAGGCAAACTGTGAACTCACACGGCATTTTCTGTCCCAAACTGAATGGAATAAGCCAGCCTGCAGTGCTAAAACAAGTGGCCATGAGGCCCCCAGAGACTCTTGCAGCTCATCCTTGTAGTGTTTCCTACTCCTGGGATGGCTCAGAAACAACCAAATTGCTTTTGCTTCTGTCAAGCACACTCCGCAGTGTGTGCTTATGAAAATGTTCTTCAAATAAAGAAAAAAATTGTTCCAGTTTTGTGGTCATCCTCCCCCTATAGAGGAAATAATTTTCCAACTATGTCTAATCTCTTTGGCTGAACAAGATGGAAATGCTAAAATTGCCTTTCTACAATGTTTACTTTGCTCTCTCTCAACACATACGGCCTTGGCAATTTGGAAATCTACAGATTCCTGGCAAGAGTAACAAATGCCCAAGAGTAAGAAGCTTTCTGGTCTTCCCAAGTGCACGGATACCCCAATTAGGACTCTTCTTTGATAAAACATTAATAAATAAATTGTTTCCTCCTAAGTCTTAGGAATTTGTGAGCTTAGCCTGTTGTGAAACCAGTGTTGCAAAGTATCAAGCAGAAGAGAGATGAAGGCCAAATCTTGAACATTATCTTTTGAAACATGAATTCTTTGGAACACAAAGACTTGTCCCTATTCTGCTGCCATAATAGCATACAATTTAATTGCCAAAATCCTCGAAGTACCCTGGGACATCAAGACAAAGAAAGATGGCTGAAAGTGAAAACCTTGATTTTCAATTTTGAATAGAGGCATTTAAATGAGATTTATTTAGAACCATGTCTTCATAGCTAAGTGCTGCTTAGACAACATATTTTAAGAATTCAAGTCAGCTCTTTACTGCCAGATACGAACAAATTCGAGCCATTTCCTAAAATACTAATATTTCAAAAGGTCAAATGGCTGTTTTGAAACAAAGACATACTCCAATCCATTTTAAACACCAAGCCAAAGTGTGCCAAGAAGTCATTTGGTTTGTTGCAAAGCTGCTTATAAGAACTAATACATTTCCTCTTCTGAAAATGCCAATCTCTCAAAGCTGATGCCTAATAGCTACTTGCTACTGGTGGTCTGTGAGATTCCACATAACAGGGATAAACAGATCCGGAAAATAGCTTTCCCACATAACATCTGTCTTCCCACCAGAACTCTATTATAAACAAACAAAATAAATGGTTTAAATCCTTGAGCGAGCGACAAGCACAGAAACATTCCAGTGCTGAAAGCAGAACGCCCAAGAGTAGTGGGAGACCATACCACAGCACCCCAGGGACAAAAGAGGTTCTTGAATTTCCCTGCTTAAGGACAAAACTGAAAGAAGAGTGGCCTCGTGATGATGGATGCACAGACTACAAGTCAGGAGATTTGATTTCTTTCTTGGTTTGACGTGGTCTCATTATGCAAGTTAGGATGAGATCTGCTGTATCCTCAGGTTTTGCTAACTAGACTCTTGATAATACTCCTTCCTCCCAGCTTTACTTTGCTTTATTGTAACTCACAAAGGCAAATTCTGTGTGAAAAATTCAGTTTCTCTGTGCATCTCTCATGTGGCAACCCTTCAAGGGGCTAAAACATCAGCTTCAAAACAGAGCATTCAAATTTCTGTCAGCTTAAATGACAACACATTCTGCATTCTCCACCAAAACAACACGTATAACTCATTCCTGTTCAGATAAGGGGTTGACACCTTAAGCAGGAAGAAAATTCCGAATTCAAATTCAGCTGGAAAAGCTGTTAATGTTAATACTGGTCCAGATGCAATGACCAAGACTCTTTGATGCCCCACTTTCTCCCCCTGTTACTGGAAGCCAATGTAACCACTTGGGGCAAGATATTGGGGCGTCTTCAAGTTTACAGGCACCAGGCAAGGCCTTCTGAGCCTTTCTCACCCAAGCAGATTGGCTTAAGAAAAAGCCTCAAATAGCAAGATGGTAACAAGGCTCTTGCTGCTTGTGAGGAACGTGCAGGCAGCAGCCTCTTCCCAGTCAAGGGCTAGGGAAAGTTATTGCTATAAACTGGACATTTCCAGCTGGAAGGCTGCAGAAACATTACAGTGAGCCCAGTGAAAGGCCCCCAGACACCTCTGCAGCCAGGCAGTGAAATCTGCACAAGCAGTGAAATCTGATAGACAGGATAGTGACAATGCAGGCCAACCCAATCAAGGGCCAGAAGAGAGGAGATTGCATCTGCAGAAGCCAGGGAACATTACTGACACCAGTTGAGGCTGTAGCACAGAAGTTGTACAGCTGGGGCTATTGTAAAAGCCCACTCCGTATCCTTAAAAGCTTTTCTGGATCTGCAGCAATCTCTGCAAATCAACCCTCTGCAGAGGTTAAAATCATTAAACACCTACATGTATTTGTTGCAAGCCTTTTGGAATTGTACCTTACATCCCTTTTGTCAGCTCTGCTAAAAAACAAACTCACTGCTTCTTACCTCTTGTAGCCTGTAACAGCCCAGAGAAATTGCTGCTGCACACAAGTCAGTCCTGCTGTAAAATGCCCCAAGTGCTAATGTACCTGGCAAGTGCACTAAATTCAGAGGGGGCAACAAGGTTTCTCTCTATTTATTTAATTTGTTAAACTTTGGAGCACAGAAATAGAAAACAAATTCTAGTAAAATAAGGTTGCTAGTTTAGATTCTTCCATTTATTCAGGCCAGTTTTAATACTCCATATGTATATAATGCACATTCCTTTAGTAATGGCTATAATCACTTGGTTCATACAACTTTGAAGAGTTTCAGATCATGCTATGAATTCATTGAAATAGGAGACAATAAAGAAGGATCAAAGAAAAATGTGACTAGGTTTTATTAGAATTAATCCAAAACCAAGACTTGCCCAGCACTGTTTTTATTGTGATAAACATGGCTGTGTTTTGGTTTTGTGGGTTTTTTTTTTTAATGTGACACATGAAAATTATATTTCTAATATAATACTCATTTTCCTTTGTATTTGCCTGACCTACTGCAGTTCTGGATCTTGCCAACTCATAAGCACATGTGCTGCCGCATGTTCAGAACAGCTGAGGCCAAGGAGATGGCAGAGGAAGCCTGTACTTACACGCCCTAAGTTTATTGAGCTGTCTCAATCTCAAACAGAGCCCAGCAAATTTAAAACTACTACTTTATAATGGAAGGTCCCATTTTACCAGCCAGATCAGTACTGTATTAAAATATCACCTATTACTTGAACAATCATGTTGTGAGATCAAATTTGTTTTACACTGTGGTTGGCCACAACAAAATAGTTAAATGCACTGTGCTTCTGGTCCATTGTGTTTTTTCAGGTTGGAAACACAAAGTTGCAAGAGACTATGTTTGAAAAGAGTAAGGAAAAGAGCAACATCAATGCTAAAAGCAAAACCAGCTGAGCCCATTGATGTTTCTGGGGCTTTGATTTACTGTATTCCTGTGTATGTCAGTGGAGGTGTTTGCATTGCTTGGTGGAGAGGGATGGGCTGGGTACTTGAAAAAGACAAACAAACAAACAGACATGGATTTCATCCTGTAACACTCCAGGGTTTGCCAGCACGGCTTCACAGCGGCACATACAAAATAAACTCTACCTGTGATCCAAGCTGAGCAGCTG